TGAGGCAGGAGAGTTGCTTGAACCTGGGAGGCAGAGGTTGTGGTGAGCCTAAATCACACCATTGCATCCAGCCTGGGCAACAGAGCAAACTCCATCTTAAAAAAAAAAAAAAAAAAGGCCTGGTGGGGTGGCTCACACCTGGCCTGTAATCCCAGCACTTTGGAAGGCCAAGGCAGGCAGACCGTGAGGTCAGGAGTTCTAGACTAGCCTGACTAACATGGTGAAACCCTGTCTCTCCTAAGAAGAAAAAAAAAAAGACACAATAATTTAGAAAACATCGGTGAGGCACCAAAAGTTGATGATACCACCCATCTCATCTTTGAGGAAAGCTTTCTAAAATAACACATTGTTGATTAAATGGTAGATGCTACTAAACCAAATGGTCTAACAATTACAAAGCGTTGTACTGAAGCTCAGCCTCTAAGACAGGATAGTGCTGTGCACCTAACCCCAACCATAGGATAAACACAAAACGACAAGGGCTGGATCAGTACAGACACCTTCACACACACACATATGCGCTTTTGCATTGGTTGTTTGTCATTGTTGTTTTTTATTGAGATGAGGTCTCACTGTGTTGCCCAGGCTGGACTTGAACTCCTGGGCCCAAGCGATCTTTCTGCCTCAGTCTCCTCAGTGGCTGAGACTACAGGTGCACATCCCTGTGCCTGGCTTCCATATACTTTCTTTCTTTTTTTTTTTTTCTGGTCACCCAGGCTGGGATGTAGTGGCACAATCACAGTTCACTGCAGCCTTGACCTCCGGAGCTCAAGTGATCCTCCCACCTCAGCCTCCCAAATATAACTGGGACCACAGCAGTGCACCACCACACCTGGATCATTTTTTATTTCTTTTTTTTTTTAGATAGAATCTCACTCTGTCACCCGGGCTGGAGGGCAGTGGTGAGATCTCGGCTCACTGCAACCTCTGCCTCCTGGGTTCAAGTGATTCTCCTGCCTCACATCCCGAGTAGCTGAGATTACAGGCACCTGCCACCACACTGGCTAATTTTTTTTTTTTTTTCTTTTTTGTATTTTTAGTAGAGACGAGGTTTCACCATATTGGCCAGGCTGGTCTTGAACTCCTGGCCTCGTAATTTACCCACCTCAGCCTCTCAAAGTGTCGGGATTTCAGGGGTGAGCCACCATGCCCGGCCTTGTATTTCTTCTTTTTATAGAGATGGGTGTTTGCCATGTTGCCCAGCCTGCTCTTGAATTCCTGGGCTCAAGCAATCCTCCCACCTCAGACTCCCAAACAAAGAGCTGGCATTACAGGTGTGAGCTACCGAGCCACCGGGCCTGGCCTCACATGCATTTATTTTCTTTTTTAAAATTTTTTTAAAATTCAATTTTCTTTAATTCTTTTATTCTTCACATTAAATGAAAAGTGACTCACATGCATTTTTAATGAAACATTTCAATCTAATTTTTCAATAACCAAAGCACAAAGGGAATTTGCACTAGTGAAGCTTATAAAAAAATAAACCTAACCTCAAGGTCTTCAGAGAGAAGAGAAGAATGTGTTGCCTTTTGAGCCATTTCCTGAAGCTGTAGTTGGGTCTTCTGGAGAGCCGTTTGGCATTCCATTTGGTTGGATTCAAGGGTTTTTATCTTCTTCGTAAGTGACCTGATTATTTCAGTTCTTTTATGTAGTTCACCTGAGGAAATTTCATCAATAATCTGTAGTCAGACCTTCAGCTTAAAATGTATTCTTATTATTTATTTATTTTTTGGTTTTAAGGAGCAGAGTGTTTAACAAGCAAGAAAGAAGCCAGGCGCAGTGGCTCAAGCCTGTAATCCCAGCACTTTGGGAGGC